GCTGCCCGGTTTCCTGATTGGCCGGGAAGCAGCTCCATGCTCTCTCGTCACTTGTGTTGAGAGAGCATGGAGCCGGCTTCCCGGCCAATCAAGAAGTCATTACACACTGCCCAACTTCCTGATTGGTCGGGAAGCTGGCCAATCAGGAAGCCAGGTGCCATGTAATGATGCAGCGCCCGGGATTCTGATTGGCCAGGAAGCCGGCTTCATGCTCCCTCGCATGGAGCTGGCCCCCCGGCCAATCAGAAAGCAGGGTGCCGCGTCATTACACGGCGCCAGCCTTAATGATTGGCCAGCAAGACGGCTCCGGCTGGGTAACGGAGGAAGGCCGCTCCTGGCTGGAGAGGACCCGGGGGTGACAGGTTGGACATGCTGAGGTGAGATGGGACAGACTTGTTAATCCAGAAGCCGGGTGGCGTGTCTTTACACGCTGCCCAGCTTCCCAGCTAATCAGGAAGCTAGGTGGCGAGTCATTACACGCCACCTGGCTTCCTGAATGGCACTTCCGGTACTCGGTAATTGGTATCGACGAGTACCGAAATTTTTTTTATCGGTACTCGTACTCGGTACCAAAATACCGGTATTTGTGCATCCCTAGTTTGAGCCTGAAGCAATGGGGGACTTCGAGCAGCTGTCAGATGAGTGTAAGAAATGCTTTACTCCCAGATCACAAGTATGCATAGGGGAAGAAAAGGTAAAATAAGCTGTTATGCCAAGGGTTAAATAAAAGCCAAAAATGGGTCTGGAGTCTGATTTAGGAAGAGTTGAATGGTTTCCCTATTCACCAGCTTTACATTTTCCTGTGGCCAGAATTTAACAAATATAATATATATGCCAGAGCTCTGAAGGGAGGTGAGCCATATTGATGATCTGCAATGTTGCCATAAGACTGATTATCGTGCTTCTTTGCTGCAAACATGGAAAAGTTAAAGTTGGAACAATGAAATCCTTGCAATAAACCAAGGGGAGAGTTAGATTTGAATTACTGCTAGCAACATGGGGTGGACTAAGTCTGCTATGTCTGGTGAACCATCACAACACAAGATAGATGATAGATAGATAGATAGATAGATTTAGAAGTACTGGTTGGTGGACATTTATTTTTCAGTCTTTTGCAGCAGGGTTAACTACCAAGAGCTGTTTTTTTTTTTAAATCCTTGGCTGCTAAACCGCATGGCTTCTACAGAAAAAAAAAATACAAGGAAAAACAAACTTATCCAAATCTTTCCCAGAAGCAGTTGATTTTTAAAATATAGTAATGATTAAATCAATGTCAGCACAGCATTTTACACAATGGAGAAATTTCTTCAGTTTGTCTTATTCATGCAACGTTTTGTGTAACATACTTTTTAAATTAAAAATAAAGGGTTTGAAGCATTTCAAGCAGGGGTCTCAAACTCAATTTAGTCGGGAGCCACTGGACCAATTTTTTAGTCCCGTGGGGGCCACGACTATATATGGTACCAGTTTTAATGTATGCCCATGTTACAAGCAGCAACTGTCACCGATTCAAATTAATGAAGGGTCTAATGCAGACCTTACTAATCATCCCTCATTCGGCCGAAGCTCAGAACTGACAGAGCTCCGGCCGGAGCTGACAGGAGCCGCTCTGCATCCGACAGAGATGCAGACAGTGTAGCTGCTCCCGCAAGTTGGGCACGCGGTCCGTGTGCCCGACTTGTCAGCTGGCTGCGGGCCACGTAGTACCGGCTCGCGGGCCGCAATTGGCCCGCGGGACGGTACTTTGAGACCCCTGATTTAAAGTGAACCTGTACTTTGTCCATGCAGGGCAACACAGTGGGCTTGCTTTATTAGTGTCTCCATCAACTTCCCATAGTCACTTTCCCTTTGTTTCCCCCTCAGGTCTTTTCAGCTAACGGAAGCAAAGAAACTTCACTCCCCGCCATGTCACATTGCCTTTACCGCCAATACCAGCTTCTTCCACCCTTGCTGATTTGACACAATTACCATCTCCTGCCACCATTACCAGCTCCTTCCACTGATGCTGGCCTACCAACATTATTAACACTTGCCACACTTTGCATTTTGAGTTGTAACGCTGCATGCTGTGTGTCATTTTGAAAAAAGCTCCAAATGTTTCAATGCTGTCTATGGAGCTTGTTCAATATTTCTGGCTGTTGGGTCTCAAATAATACACTCTCATTTTTATTTCATGATGGAAACTGCCATATCGCTCCCTCTAACATTCCAGCCCAATCAAGCTGCTTACCTACTGTGCTATATGTGTGGCTGGAGAAATTGAAATTGAAATATGGCACTGAAATATGGCACTCTAAATCATATTTCAAGATAAAATCTGCCTCCCCTCTGAAATGTGGTGTTGTGGTTTGAAGTATTTTGGTGAGTTCTGTTTTGCAATTTTATTAAACTTTTAACACAATGCAGTGTTGTACTGCAAAAAAAAAAAAAAAAAAGATCACAAATCACAATCTATACTATGAAACTGTTTTGCCATTAGCCAACTGTTATGAAGTTGAGGGATTTAGCTTTATATTTCCTTTGGAAAGATAAAACTTTCCTTAGATCTGTTGTGGCTGTTACTTCCACTGCTCAATTCAAACCTGTTACTGGTAGACAAAAGTCAGGCATTGCAGTCAAAACTACCTGAAAATTACTTTTTTTCCAAGTTGAATTAAATCAGATTGGAGTGCATCTTCTGTATAGAGGCCAAGCTAAATGTGAAAAAAAAAAAAAAAATGATACCTGCAAAATATGTGAAGCCATAATATGGTGTCACTGACACTGTCTGTGAGAATTGTACTGTTCCAGAACACCACAAACAGCTTAAAGGAGAACTATGGGGTTAGGACTTTTCCCCATAGTTCTCCTTAGGGTAACGGGAGGACACAAACTAGCGTCCTCCCGTCAGCCTAAGCTCAGTATACCGCGAGCTACAGATAACTCAAACCTGAGAACAAAAATGTAATATATTGCAACTTCCTAACCTTTAGTTGTGGCTGCATTCATTTTCATTTTTCAGGCTAAGAACATTTTCAGCAAGTACAAAAAATACCTGTTGACCTTGCCAGATATGCAGTGTCCATGTCACTTTCTATGAACTGAACCGGAAGCATAAAACAATGTTATTTTCTTTCTATAAACTACTAATCTCTGCACCCCAAGTAATGGAGAAGAATAAAGGCAAATGCATGAAGTCCAGCCTGGGTGACGACCATGGCTCTCTCCATAGATACAGTGGAGTAGAGTGAATATAATCTTTAACACTGGAAAATTATAGAACGCAATAACAAGATATAACTATAGTAACCAATTAAATGTTGATCACTCTGGTTACACTCAGGGGCTAAAAGCTGTTTTTTGTTTAGTTGCTATGGGTTTCAGAGTGTCATTACACTTTGTAGCGATAAGGTCTAAAACGGACACAACACATTAGCAGATGATCATATTTCATGTAAGGAACTTGCAGAATGATTTCACATATCCACACAATCACATGTTGAGGCATTTGTTTATAGATAGATGTAAATGTAGTACTTGACCTGCCAGTAATATCACTTTAGGGGCTTTTCAGAAATCTTTGCCAGGTGTTAGGTTGAAGGAAAAATGTATCAAAAATATCCATTATGCTCAAAATGCTTTCTTTTCTGTGAGATTTGGAATAGGTTAAAGGAGGGGTCAACTTTCAAAGGACTCGTGTTCCAACAAGGAAAGGTGACAAGGTTTAAATGGTCTGGCTTTCCATATAAGAAAAATATTAGTACAGCGGAGTGATATATAGGGACATATCAAATCATTTTATCCACACGTATCAGGATTCTATCTATGATCAAATCATTTACAATTAAATTCTGTTATTTCTTTCACAGTAATGCTTAGCACTGCTCAGTATTAGGCTAGGTGATAAGTGCAAAACAATCTTCATAATGTCCAAACCGTTCTCCTGGTTTGTAACACCTAGGTTGTACTGGGCAGCAAGTACTAGCTTCCCTGAATGGCTCTGAGACATACAGAAGGCTTCTTCTTGGTGCGACCTGTGCAGGAAATGAAGAAGGTGTCTGCATTGTGACCCCCGATGCATATTATAGACCACAAGAAAGATGAAGGCAAGAATGTTCTTCACAAGTATCACTATCTATCTATCTATCTATCTATCTATCTATCTATCTATCTATCTATCTATCTATCTATCTATCTATCTATCTATCTATCTTACACAATATTGGGCATTTATCAAGCAAATTAGCAACACAGTTAGATACAAATCAGGTTGCCTCTCGTTCTGAAAAGACTCTACAAAAGGCTTACATCATATTTGCTCCTGTATACCTGGGCACTCAACTGCGACAGATTTGCACAGGTTTTAGATAGATTAATCACGGTCCATGAGTCTTAACAACAGTGTCCAAGGTCCTGCACACAAACCTTCACCTCAATATTTGTACGTGCCTAGCCAACGGTGACACTGCCATAGAGATTTATGCAAGTACTAAATAGGTAATAAAGCTCTTTTACTTGATCAGAAAGAGGTCCTGTGTGCTCTTGAAATGTTACATTTATTTGCTTTCTGATGAAGTAAAAGACCTTTATTACATATTCTTAGCCTGTGGGCCTATTCCTTGCATTGATTTCACTTGCATATTTAAGAAGTGGTCAGGATTAGGTTTAATTCTGTCACAGTGCTACATTAGCAGTGGAAGGAGGTATTTATGACTCAAGCTGTGACCTTGTAGTAAATCTGTTGCACAATCAGTCTCACTGCTTCTGTTTAGCGTTACCTTGCTGCATGACAGAATGGATCAGTGTTCCTCAAGGAATGTTGGGAGACAAAAATTGTTCTCTCAAAGGTGGTTTTTGCTCACTATATATGCTACTGGTTCATTAGCACAAATATCATCAGTTACTGAACAAGAATAGTCTATTTTACCAGTATCAGTCAATCAAAGTTCTCCTATCCATGTCCTAGTGTAACGTGTTAGAATGAAAGGAGAACCTGTCTTTCCCCTTACTTATTGACTTACCTGCAGGTGATAGTTAATGTATCAGTCACGTTGATCACAAGTTCATCAGTAGTGATGTCAAGGACAGGCGGGGTCATAAAATATCCGCTCACCAGATCTAAGAAGAAGCATAAAAAGAAACATAATAGTCAAACAAACATATCTCTCAAATGAGGCTCTTACGTTTCAAATTATATGTGCTAATTGAATGGCTACGTCCTTACCAGTATAGCTGCTCGCCAACTCCCATCTGTGTCAACATCTTTAAGAAAGTTAAACAAAGTTGTGTTCCTATTTAGGCAGCAATCTTGGGGAATGTTTCATGTCAAAAGAACCCATTGTGGCACAGACTCTGGACATTACAATTAATGTAGTCTGATGCTAATTACTCTTTTTGGAAAGCCTAATAGACATTGCATGTACGTTGGATAGAGGGAAGGAATAATTCCATCCATTACATGTGATTGCTCTGTAGAAAAGTAATTTTCTTGTCTACCAAATCAAGGCACCCGAGCTGTGTTTTTATTTCTTTTCCCAGGCTCCTTTGAATATGTGTCATTTTGTGTGATTTTGGCTAAATGAACCAGAGGAAAACTCCAATGCCAATTTTATCCAGTGATGGAAAACAGAGGTGTAAAGTAGAATAATGACGAGCTTGCAGCCAATGCAAAAGTCCTGTTGTATTAAAGTGCACCTGTCACCTTATTCATTGGTTCTCAGATTTTTAGAGGTCTAGGAACAATTCGATATTGATGTCGCATAAATACCTTTATACCAGCATATTTTTTTAAAGTACACTGTCTTAAATTGAAAAACTTGGAATTGCATTTTGTATGCCAATACCTTACTTGCCCTGGGCTTTTTTTTTTTTTTTATCTACTTCTGTTCACATCCAAAAGTATCCAATGCCCATGTCACTCTGGAGTCGTTTTGCAAACTCTCTCACCTGGTGAAGCAGTTTAGTTCAATGGCAGGCATTGCTTAAATGTTGAATGCAGTTTTCGGGTCAGTGCAAGGTGAAGCCATGCCCAATGAATGCTGAAGACGAGGTACTTGGGTGTTGCTTAAGGGGGTATCAAGTCTTCAAAGACTGAACTGTGGTCAGGCTAAGGACATGCACTACTTTAAAACAAGCCATCATTGACCTTGGGGGCTGCAGCCTCTCTAGTGTAATTAATCCTCAAATTTGGCAGTTAAAGTCTCTCAATTTTAACTTCTCTATTACTAGCTACTCCATTTAACTTCTTCACCCTCAGCAGCAGTGACTTACCAGCCACCAGCATTGTAAACTTCAAGATAAATAAAGAGCAGGTGCACAGAAAGAGACCAGCCTTAGACCAATTCACTGCCTCTGCTGTGAATTAATTCCTTTAAAGTGTATGTAACTACAGAGATTAGTGAGGGCTAGTTTTAAAACATGTTTAATGCTTATTGAGAACATGTATATATGTGAATGTCCATAGCCTGTAGTTTTCAAAGGATGTCAACAGCACACTTTTGCTTTAAAGTGGCCCTTTTAGGGAATAAAAAAATACCAAAGGACTAAAAGTAAGAAAACAGCTTTATACATAGCTATTGGTTAGACTTCTTGCTATAAATTCTCTCTTGAGCAAAGCACTTGGCACTGATACGATTCCCCACTTGTGGAATAGTACGTCCCCCAATTTGATGCTTCCGTCAAAACCAGGTCACTACTGTTTCTTACAGTGACTAGGGCTAGGGCTCAACAGGAGGAACCAAAAAGCCAGCAAGAGTACACTTAATTCAACCACCATGAGGAGTCAAATTGGATCAGTGCCGGAATGTCTGCTACAGTGAAGTTTAAGCAAATGGGCCAACAGACATTATGTATATATTGTTTCCTTCATAGGTTTCTACTTTTGTAATTTGGTTGATTACCTGACCGGATCACTTCAAGTGCCCCCTTTTATTATCAGCGTGAAGTTCTTAAAGAAGGAAATGTACACTTTTTGATGTTGAGTATGAGTATTGAAGTTGATATTCAAAGCCAGAACAGGAAAATAGTTAATATTCTAAATAACATCCATTTAATTTGTTTCATGATTATTTATGGTGGCCTTTAAAGAAAAACCGTACTGAGAAAATATGTTGGCTGCCATTGCTGACCTGTTTTATTGAAAATGCTAGTTCCAGAGTTCTCATCCTGATTCAAAGGCTTCAATATGTTCTTAGTCACTGACTAAAATGAGTATGCAAATCATACATTTTGACATTACTGTTTGTTTTCTGTTTGATTGCTTTATGTCATTGTCTTAGAAAGCACTGAGATTGGAAACAGCCAGGCCACTAACATTTTCAGAAGGTGATAAGAAATGTCATTCCCCCCCATATTTCTCTCACTACAGGTCACCCTGAGGTTTTCACTATGAAAAGTTTTAGTTTTACAAAATGTTTTACTTTTTTACCTAATTCTCCTGTAGATTTAAAAAGATTAAAAATGACTTTTCAAATTACATTAAAATGATGTGAGATGTTTGGGACTGGGTATACGGATATGTTAACAAGAGTAATTAGGTAATGAATATTATTTGCAATGTTTATTGTATTACTTCCTAGCTTTTCAATATCACATTTTTCCGGAAAGTAAAGTAAAACTTTAATTGCCTCACTATTATAAATAATTTCATGAACATATCTAGCTTTCCAGTACTTCAGATTTATGATTGGTGAATGCTAAAATGTAGAGGAAAAATCCACCTATGCTTAGATAGATTTACAACCTAGCTGCCAACAGGGCGGCGATAGAAGCCAAAAAGGCTCTCACCTGTGAAATATGTGGCATTAACATGAGTCAGGCAATATAGTAGAACGATGGATGTTCTCCAGACTTACATAGAGTGCCAACCAATACAAAGCAGATTTATGAAGTCAAGCAAGGGAATATGTGGTTTGGCAGGTATGGTTAATGAAAAGGCTCTATTTAGTAGCTCTGCCACACACTGCTTCAGAAATTAGCTAGGTGAAATATCTATTAAAGCCAGCTGCTCTTTAGACTGCCTGTTGCCAATCTTGATCCACATAATATAATACTTATTTAACATATAGTTAGAAAGGAACATTAAAAACACTTAATTCCTGTTAGCAAAATTCTGACACTTGTGAAATGAAAGAACTTGTCGCTGACTGGTTAATGGTGGATCAGTATATTAGTGCCAAGAGTGATGACTTCACATTATAGCTCCACGTAAAAAAAAAATCTCCTAATTGCTAGTTTAGATTACATGCAAATTGCCTGGCAACGACAACTAGGAAACTAATGAAGATTAATGAGGTTTCATGTACTGGTCCATTCAACATTGCAAGGCTTTACATTATTTTCATGCAAAGATCCAACATGTGATATGTAAAAGTACCCTTAGATATGGGATGATTAGTGCTTGAAATGGCCAGTTTCAAATCTAAATTTGATTAGTGATGAACAAAAAGGAGAGCAAGAGCACAATTGCCAGGCACAGGTTGTCACCCAATAACAGGAAGTGCCTTTATGGCAGGATCAGCAGGTATTTTCTTTAAAAAGTTGCAGATGTGTTAAAAGTATTGAAACTTACATTTGAAATTAAATTAACATGTTAAAACTTGTATAAGTGATTAGATTTACATATACTTTAAATAAAGCAAAGCATTTTCTGATTATTACAATTCTCCTAATACTTTACCACAAAAATGCTCGCTGTCATCATGAAAATATTTCACATTCTTTTGAAAACCACTTTCCGCACAAACCATATATTGTTACATTGGAAAGCAATTCCTGTGGCCACCTGATCTGATTACATTACAATGGCCATTTAAATCCCCTTTTGAAAGATCACCTAATTTTTCTCAATATATATAATATAGAAATATATGAAGAAATAGAATATATCAATGATGCAAATCTATTCCGTTGAAATCTTAAAAAGGTATAATGTATTTTTAGTAAGCACATATTTTATATTATTAAGTATTTGCGTAAATGTAATTTTTGATGTGACTTTCACATTTTTTACATGCTTGTTCTTCATATTTTTACATGCTTAGTCTTCAATAATTTTTTTATTTTATTAAATGTAGAGATTTGTAGATCACTAACTAAATTCAAGGAGGAGCATCTACTACAGTTACTCTGACTAATTGCATAAAGTAGACTTTCAAGCAAGTTCCGCTTATTGAGTGTGATGCTCCTGCCCCTTGCTAAAATGCTGTATTAAACCAGGGGGCGGGGGTTAGATAATATACTTACCTGTCCCCTCCTTTCCTACTGCAGGGGGTGACTACCATCTTTCCGATGAGATTCCAGGGAAAGTACAGTAGCACATGTGAAGATGCAGCAGCAAAAAGCATGTTTATCTTCTTGCGAGATTTGGGCCACTCAACGTTCCCTGGGATCAGGTCAGAAGAAGGTGTCAGCCTTGTCTAGGTGCTGTGGGCTGAAGCCAGGTAAGTATATTATATAACTTTCCCCACAGGTTTTTCTTTCATACTGTAGAAGTTTCCTGTAGAATTACTCATTACATTAAATTTACATTACTAAAATGCTGCATTACTGTGGAAGTTCACCCAAGAATTACCTAATGAAGATTAAACACCATATAACACATGTACCTTGATAAATGCATAGCGCCATGTTTGACTTCTGTCTGTTCTCTGGTTGTCCAGCAATTAGTATTGGATTACTGTTGGCTATAACCAGTGACAACATGCAATTCATAGGGGGTGATTTACTAACCTAAACACACGCACGCACCAGGTGTGTGTGATTTTCACACAGCAAAACGTATTTATCAACCAAAAAGTCTCTAAAAGCATATTTCCACTAATGCCATATATGGAAAAATCATGCACATGATGCATATATAATGCTGCTTCACAGTTTAGACAAAAATGGTTAGCTCATGCATTTACATTCCTGCATTCATCAACGCAAGCAACATAACATAGAGTTAATTTACACCACATTACCTTGCAATTCATTGCAGGGCTTTGCACAACACACCTGCTGGGTGTGTACACACTACAAAGGTGTTTCGATTCCTCCCATAGATCATGCTGGGAGGGAACACACTACAGAGGTGTATACACGTTCGTGGTGTGTTTAAAAGGTTAGTAAATCAACCC